GGTCTCGGTCTCGGTTTTTTTTTATAAAGTTAAATATAAGTTTCGCAAACCATTATACAGTTTAGGGATTATTTTCTGATTGCTTCCCTCATGATGGATCAAAACTTGAGGAGAAAATAATATTTATGCAAAAACAATAGAGAGATAACTTGAGGAATTTTTATGTCTAACAATTGTTTATTAATGTTTGTAAGAATCTAAAGTGTAACAAGATCAGATGTTCTCGCCCAGACAGATGGTACATCTTTTTCCCGCTATAGAATAAAGAGACACAATGAGAAAGGTTACTTTCAATTTGTTAAACTTACGTCACTTTAATCATTGCTGCAAATGTCTGGTTCATACTTACCACACTCTAACACCAATCTGTGTATACACGGATAGTTATTTCTTAGACACGTTTCAGATTTTGACGGGCTTCGTAGTGAAGGAACCATATTTTCCCTCTTAATTGTTGTTGTGGTTGGGTTTCAATGAGCAAGAGTGAATAGTTTAAATTTTTAAATAAATTCTTCACACAAGTATTTCCATTTACACCTCTTTTAGGTACTACTTGCAGAGAAGAAATCTCAAATTGCAGAGATGGAGGCAGCTGCAACTGGCGAAGCAGCAAGGCTAAGGGCTGTTGCAGAAACTCTTAAAGGAGAGCTCTCACACCTTAAATCATTGAATGTAAGCGATATTTAGAAGATGGAATGTAAACGCCATTTGCCACTAAATGGAATATCAATTATATAAATATCATACACTGTATTTATCCATATAAACCCCTCATTTCCTCTTCTGTACATCTTCCCTACAAAATATATTAAATTCCTCAAATTCACCAAACTTTGACTATGTATTGTTTTTTTGTTGCTCATTATTATACAATCCTAAAATCGAAAAACCATCCCGCAATCTACACGATCACCTACAAACTTATATAAATAACACCAAGCTAAACCATTGCCAGTCACTTCTTACTTTTCTCCAATCTTCAACGTAAAAAACTATTAGATCAACAATTTATACAATTACTTTTCTCTATATTATATTCTCTACTGATCCTTTGTTTGTTTTCTCAACTTCAACGTTATGAGTAAGGATAAACACGACTTAGCCGACCCGGAACCTAAATCTATTCTTTTGAACAAACTGGTTCAAAGAAGATCCAACCATCAGATATTGGTTCATGTATAACGTTCATGGGAAATACGTAACTTCAAACGAAATGGAGCACTAATGAGTCGCGATCTACTTCTCTTGGATGAAAAGGTAAATTCACTACATGTTAAGAATATATTACTACTAGATTATTGTAAACCTAGATTAAATTTATGACCACAATTTTTTACTCCATCTCTTAATCCATTTTTCTTTTTACCAGAAAAAGAATCAAGACTCAGTT